GACAGGACATTCTGCCAACCCTGTGTTGGAATATTCAACCATTTCCATCATGTTTGTCTGCAAAATTGAAATACTACAGGAACTAAAATAAAGAACTTCAATTGCAAAAGGCACTAAAATAATTGGCTTGGTGTTTTGCTGGCAATGTCAACCAGGAATCACCTGGCAAGAGGAACACACCAAATCCCCAGCCCCCATGTGCCAGAGGGTCTCACAATTCCAGCAGGTCAGGCCAGGACAAGAAGATGGGAAGAAGATGCCCAGAAAGGCAGGCAGAGACTCAGCAGTGACTCTGCTGTCTTAGCAGTGTGGCACAAGTGGCATTTCCTGACCAGGATGAAGAATAGTTACTATCTCATCTAATGGGGGGCTCCAGTGTTACCCTTCAGCACTGGAATTAAGCACTGAGTTGTTTCTGGACTTCTGCCTTCCTTGCACAAGAGGTTCTATCACTGGTCTCACAGGCAGCATTTCCCAAGTGCTGGAGGACACTGCACACCTGGTGAAGGCCAGCAAAACAAGAGAGATGTGTGTGCAACTCTTCAGGTACAGCCTGTGTCAGCTCTCAACAGCCATTTATTCTTTTAAACTGGCAGAGTTCAATCTCAATTCTCAACTTTGCTGAATAAATATTTTTCCCTGGGATGCTGCTCCTCACGTAAAAAAGGTGGAAGAAAAGAGCTGCTTTGTTGTGAGGAAATGCTCTACTCTGTGTCGATGGAGAAATGCCACACATGAAGTTTAGAGAGAGAAGTACAAGCACCAGAATTCTCTGACAATTCATAGTCCTGGAAACGAGGATGAAGAACTGGCTCTGAGATGCTCCTGCAGAGAGATTCCCAGTGAATCATCTTTAAAGAGACCAGCAAGAGCAATTCAATGAAATAAAAAAGGCAGCAGACTGCTGGAGATAGAGAATCTAACAATTGCATGGAGTTTTTTCATTGACTGTAGACAGCACATTCAAAGAGTTTAGAAGCAGAAAGTTGAGAGAGCTGAAAAGTTGGAAAATAACAAGGCAATAATTGACAGAGAACGAATCTGAAATAGAATCAGGCTGCTGGAGAAAATGAAATGATTTGTAAAGACTTGAGTAGAGATGTCAGTACAATAGGAAGCAGGGAAGAAAAGGCTCGGAGCAGCTTTGTGGTGTTTTTTGACTTCTTTCCCTCCTTTGAAGAGCCTTGTAAAATTGTGTGCTGCTGAAGGAATGGCAAGAGGAAGAGGGGAAGGATCTGAGAAGCCAGGGGAATAAACAACTGCAACTTCAGGTTTGGCATTCACCTGACAAAGCCGGAAAAATAGAAATCTACACATGTAGTTTCTTTGTATTAATTTGAAAATCCTGGCTGCTTCTTGGAAGTACCCAGAAGTCAGGAATCTGTGTCCCTTGCCAGGGAGGCACAGGGTGCCTCTCCCAGCTTGCCCATACCTCTCCAATGGTGAATCCCAACTGCCTAGCCCGGACAATCATCTCCATCTGGAAGACGTATCCTTTGGAAACACACTTCTCCATCAGCTTCTGTAAGACTTCTTTTCTGTACAACCTGTAAACAATTCCAAAGGAAATCAAATCTGAAGCCTGGAATTTAGAAATCCAGGCAGCGTGTAGGAATCTGAACTGCAATCACTCAGCTCATTACTATTTATAAAACTCTCTGCCGAGGTCATGGGAGCAGCAGCTCTTGCAATCCAATCCAGTGTTTCTTCCACCCTTTCCAAAGAGATTTCACAGTCCACAGTAAAGGTCTGTTCTTACTCCAGTTCCTTGTCCAGCAGTTTCTTAATTAAACATTAGGAATTGCAAACCAGATCCCTACCTGAAACTCCCTGTCAGATCTGATGCCCCCGGTCTCAGCAAGACCTGAGTCAGAAAATTGGCTCCACGGCTGTGAAAGAGAACATCAGAGTTGTTTAGTACAAAAAGATGGGCACTTACTCCAGCCATTAAAAAGCAGGAACAATCCAAATCCAGTCCCTGTGATACCACCTGCAGTTCAGACTGTAACACAGCTTGTGCTCCAGCTTCTCTGCAGGATAAATAATGTTCTCTGGGAGGGACAGGAGCACTCCAGCTGTGAGGCTGAGCTGTCCCTCACACCTGCCAGCTCTCAGAGTCCCAGCTTGTTCCCTGGATGATGGAACTGGCTGTCTGTCCCAACCTGAGGCCACTGTTCAGCCCATTTCCCAAGCCCACCCATGCCATTCCAGTTCTTCTTGGTGGATTTGAACCAAAGAACCCAGCAGTGGTGGGTGCTTCTGCTATTCAGGGTGGGTCTGCAATGCCCAGCAGGTACAGCAGCTCTGGGGCCTAAAGAGTTCAGCTTACAGGGATGGACTATTTGGAATTATTATTCACAAGTAACAAATTTCTGTGTAAAGAGCTGAAAAGTACTAACCTGATTAACTTTCTTTTCAAATCCCAGCCATACACTCCTCCATTTCCTTTATATCTTGTTCCAGATACAATATCAAAATTGCCTTCTTTCTGCTTTCTATGAACAATTGGTTTTATCAGAAAAACTGAAGGAATGTTTCACAGTACAAATTTCAAAGTAAGAACAATCATTCTTTCAGTACAAAATCTGTATTTTACAAACTTCTGAACAAATAAGAAGAGAGGAAAGCAATAGTTCGGGCAGCTATGAACATTATTCAAACAGCTGTTAACTGTCTTATAAAGAGCTACTTCAGGGAATCCTATAATTATCTTTTACCCATTATAGCATAGAATTTCATAGACAGGGAATCTTATAATTATCTTTTACCCATTATAGCATAGAATTTCATAGGCTGCCTCAAAAATAATTTATAAAGATCAACTTTCATACTATAATTGGCACCTACCTGATAAACTCTGGAATAAATTTTGGCTGAAATGAAAAGAAGACAGATGAGAAAAAAGGGTGGGGGTAAAACAACAGCAGTCACTGCAAACTGAGTTGTAACAGAGTGTACCCAGAGTACACAGAACACAGCCTTACGTGGTGGGAGAGGTCAGCATCCATAATAACAATGAAATTCCCAGTGGCATACTTCATTCCATGGATGTAAGCAGTGCCTGATGGAAACAGAAATAACTGCCCTCACTCTTTTAACACGGAAATGCACAGGGAAACTTCACTTGAGGATGGGTCACTACTTGAAATGCCATTTCCAAAGCAGCAGGCACACTCAGGAGCCACAGGAAACAGGATGGGCTCCAATGGGTTCACTGCCCATTGTGTGCCCAGCGTGCAGGGCAGGAGGGAGGATCTGCCCTGAGCTCCTGGGGGACGTTTTAGAAACACACTGGGAGGTTTATGTGCATTTTAAAGGCTTGTTTGTTCACAGCAACTTGATGAAAATGTGTTTCTGCTTTTGGGCTTTGCTGTGATTTTTTTTCTGGACTTTTATACACTTGATCAGTCAAAGTATCCAGCAGATTCTTTTGTTTGTTTTTACTAATCAGAGTTAATAAAGACTTACCCAGTCCCAGCTTCCTTGCTCTGGGTCTCAGAAGCTACAGGAGATATAGAAAACACATAAATTACTTCACATACAGTTTTTAAGAAAACTCTAAAACTAAAAAATTTTTTTTTTCTTAAAACAATCTTCATAAATGCAACTTAATCCAGAAATACTTTTAAAAACTTGGCATTTATGCAGTAACAGACTGGAAAAGTATCTGACTGCCACTAAGTAAATGACAGCATCTGGTATATAACTGAGGGTTATGCAGTAATACATTACATAGATTAAAAAAATAAATAAAAAAATATCCTGTTCTTGAGGAATGCAATGAGACAGATTAAAAATAAATCATAAGCCCAGCCCAGCTTTCATCTTTCCGATATCCTTACTCCTGCAGTCAATTAAAATTCAATTAAATCTTATCCAAACCCCATCTTTCCCTCAGGCCTGCAGCAAGCAGAGCAACACTCACCAGTCATTGCTCAGGAGCACACAGCAATGCACCAAGGATCGACAGCATTCGGCAAACAATTCATGCTTTTGCATTTTTGGTCAGAATGCACATTGTCAACTATCATGACCTTACACTTGGTGTACAACAGCTTGTTTAAGGATGTAAAGAAAGTACAGAACCCAGGGAACCCACCCCAGTCCTCAAGAACTTATAGTACTTTCCAATACAAAAAAAAAAATAGCAAAAAAATGTTACCGAATACACAACTCACTATTTTATCTGATCCATATATTTTTTCCAGTTGCCGAGCAACTTCCTGTGTGCCATCCGGGCTTCCATCATCTACGATGATAATTTCAAAGTCGATCCCACTGAAACGAGAACGGTTTGGTGATGGCCGGGCGGGGGCTGCCCAGGGAGGTTGGGAGCATCCCCGGGGGTGTCCCGGGAAGGGCTGCAGGTGGCACTCGGTGTCGTTCCCATTGGGAACGGCTAGAAAGAACGACACAAACTCTCAAGGGAGTTTCAACACGAGAATTCCCCTAGTTTATTGCTTCAGACTTGTCTTATAGACAGATACGTGGAAAGGTACAGAAAGGAAACTCTTACTGGTTAGCAAAGTGCTACATTACCATCATTGGTCAGGGGTACTCTGCCCCCCTGGCCTTCTCCTGCAAGGGAAAACAAGAGGACTGCAAAACAACACCTGCAAGGCTGTTTAGCGTCCCTGAGGATTGTTTTGAGATCCTCCTTTGAATTTCTCAGGCTAGCTTCTCAGGCAGGACTGAGAGGCCATGGGCCTGCAGTTCCTGCAGCTCCCTGCAGCCTGTTCCAAAGCCAGCATCCATAACTCGGTGCTGGGGACAGGGCGGGGATGGGGCCCGCCTGGGATCGGATGGGCTGGGAGGGATTTTCCGGCGCCGTGCGGCCCGGGAGCCGGGCATCCCGCAGCCCCACACGGGCCCTGTCCCCGCCGCGGTGTGCGGTACCTGTCGCTGAGGGTGCTCGCCAGCAGCCACACGACGAGGGGCAGGTTGTCGCGCTCGTTGTAGGTGGGCAGCAGCACGGAGACGCGCTCGGGGCCCCGCGCCATGGNCCGTACCGGGGCCGGCTGCGGCCGCGCTCCGCGCTGCGCCTCGTGCGCCAGTACGACATCGTGGCCGACTGCTCCGACAACGTCCCCACCCGCTACCTGGTGAGCGACGCCTGCGTGCTGGCCGGCAAGCCGCTGGTGTCCGGCAGCGCCCTGCGCCTCGAGGGGCAGCTCGTGGTGTACAACCACGGCGGCGGGCCCTGCTACCGCTGCCTGTTCCCCCAGCCGCCCCCGGCCGACGCCGTCACCAACTGCGCCGATGGCGGAGTGCTGGGCGTCGTCACCGGCATCATCGGCTGCATGCAGGCGCTGGAGGTGCTGAAGATCGCCTCGGGAATGGGCTCCTCCTTCAGCCGCTGCATGCTGATGTTCGACGCCCTGGAGGGGAGGTTCCGCAACATCAAGCTGCGGCCGAGGAAAGCGGACTGTGCGGCGTGCGGGGACAGCCCCAGCATCACCTGCCTGCAGGACTACGAGGCGTTCTGCGGCTCCTCCGCCACCGACAAGTGCCGGAGCTTGCGGCTGCTGCCCAGCGGGGACAGGATCTCCGTGCAGCGCTACAAGGAGCTGCTGGATGCGCGGCTCCCGCACCTGCTGCTGGATGTGCGGCCGCAGGTGGAGGTGGAGATCTGCCGCCTGGAGCACGCTCTGCACATCCCGCTGAGGAAACTGCAGGACAAAGATGAAGAATCTCTGCGGCGTTTGCAAAAGAGGATTTGCGAGGAAAAGCAGGGAACTGATGACCAAACCTCTCTCCCTGTGTATGTTGTTTGCAAGTTGGGAAACGATTCCCAGAAGGCTGTGAAAATTCTGCAGGAGTTACCTGCCAAAGAATTCGGTTCTGTGTTGGTTAAGGATATTAAAGGGGGGCTCATGGCTTGGGCCACTAAAATTGACTCGACCTTTCCTCAGTACTAGAATTTTAAATGGTGAAAAACCCCCACGTTTTCAGAGTAAGTTCTGGAGGGTTCCATCTCCTCTGTGTGATGGCTGTATGACGTGGAAAAACCAAACACAAATACCATACTGCGTTTTTATGTTGCCTTTTTTTTCCCCCCAAGAAAAATGTGTATTTTTGTAGCTGATTATTTTTATAAAAATGTAAATCCATGCAAGTTGAAAGAAATATGTTCCTTGGTTATGATTTAATAGTAAAAACTTGGCATAACTACTTGTGCATGTGATGATGGAGAATATCCTAATGAGCAATTCTAACCTGGAAAACAACAAAACACAGAAATCACGTTATTACTCGGTCTCCAAACTGCTTAACAAATTGAAACAGTGCATGAAATGAATAAAAAAAGAATTACTGTTAATCTCTAGCTGGTCTGTAGCACTATTAATCTGTCACAGGGAATTGCCAGGACAGCACTCATGGGACCATGGTGGTCAACACCTTTCAATTCTCTGTAGAAACCGTGTGTATTTATGGACTAGAACGGCACCAGGGTGCTAAGAACCTCCAGAGCCAGCCATCCTCGTTTGTTGGATGGCAAAGCAGTGGATTCCCCAGCTTCAATAGAGGAACTGAGCTCAACTGCTAATAAGACAGAAGTTTGACCCTGGAAAATCTGTAAAACAGACAGAAAATGCTTTTATCAGTGCTTAGAAGATTTCAGAGATAATGAGGAGGTGAGAGAGGGAAAACCAGATATTTTTTCTCCCTCCAAGCACAAAAACCTGTTTCCTGAGCTGCTCCCTGCTGCTGAGGCAGTTGCAGCTCCCCAGATGAATTTGCTCTGGCCAGTTGGTGCTGGCACAAAGAGCTCTGCACATCTGAGGAGTGGCTGTACTTAACTGAATGAAAAGAAATAGAAATAAATAGCTTCTCAACAGAGTTGCCTGAGGCCTCATCACCTCAGTGTAGTAATTATCTCATATTAATTGAGGTATGGATTTCTTTACTTCCTGAGTGGGAAAAGAACACCTGTCATGACTAATCTTCACATTGTACTGGGGGAAAAAAAAAGAACAGTACCATTATAATTAGTAGTTGAAAAGATGTATTTTGGTAAAATAAGTTTGAGAACAGCCACACTCCCAGCTGTATTATAACATGCCATGGTTCCAGCAATGGCAGTCTCATGAGGGAACAGTAGTGGGTTTGTAAACAGAGCCAGATCTTGCAGTTCAGAGGACAATGAGAAGATGAAAGGCCAGGACTTAGAATAAACATCAGTGTTTGTGGTGCGTGCCCAGGAGTCACTGGGTTGTGGAGGCACAGCTCAGTCACAATGTCAGGATTCTGGGGGTTTCCTCTCTTGGGAATTAGAAACCAGGGGGGCTTGTTTGAAATGCCTGACCTGGGTGTAAATTTTTCTGTCTTCGCTGTGATTTCTTCACTGTGATGTCAAGAAGAGACTGGAATGTGAAAGGCAGCAGTAGCAGTAATTCTGGAATACCCACAGTGGCTGCTGTGTCACACGTCCCTCTGGCCTGACAAAGGGATTCTTTTCAGTCATTCCAGGCAAGGTGAACCCAAGGATCTGGGGACAAGGGGAAAACTCCTTGATTCTAAATCTGAGTGTGTAGAAATTGTGTGTGAAGTCTTTTCCCTTGTTCCAAGATTGTCTTGCCTCTGTTCTGTAAATGCAGCCCTTGGCAGTGCTGGACTCTTTGAAATAGGCTGAACAATCAAGGGTCATAAAATAATCAAACCCAAACCATTCTTTTTTTTGCAGGCTTATCTTTTGTTTTGACTTGCTTTAATTCTTGAACTCTAAATGTGTAGTGGTTTCTCTGTTCACTGGAAGAAATTCTATTTAGAATTTTGAAGAGAAGCACTAAAACTTAACGATTTGTATTGCTGCCAAAGCCCTGTTGCAGTGTTGGGGTGTGCTGACATTGTGAATGAGGAGGAGCTGCTCTGGCCAAGGAGCTCTGAGTGGCTGGGCTGGGTTATCAGCAGAGGTCAGGACAAGATCTTGTCCTTCACCCTCGGTGTCACGGGGTTGCATTTTCTAATAAAAACTTAACTGTTCAAAACAAAACTTTGTATTAGGTCCTTAAAATACTCCAAGCATACGTTTGTCCTTTTATTTTAATGCAAAAGCTTTGAGCTGTCCTTTGTGAAGTTACAGAAAGAATAATGTGAGGGCTGTGTGCTAGGTGGCACTGCAAGTTAATAAACCACAGCACTGCCGAGCTTGAGAGATTCAATTCAAGCTTAGCAAGACCTGAAACCCCTTGTACAAATCCATCATTGTGCAGATCTTTTGGAAAAAAAAAACAGGGAAGGAAAATAAAATGGAGATGAATATTAACATGGATTAGGGTAGCAAAATTTGGAGCAATGTAAACAATGGGAAAATGCACACACAAATTGGTTTGTGGCATTAACCTTTTGTGGTTTGTGTTGCTTGGTTCAATATACCAGCCCTGCTGCTTTACATCACTCTGCAGCTTCAACATCTTGGTGGGAAAATGTGTGCAGGGCAGGAAAAGAAGCAGAGAAAAGCAGAATAAGGCAAAAGACAGAGAAGAAATGCAGAGTTTACAAAGTTTTACTCTTCACTCCTCTGGTGCACATCACTTTTCCCCCAGACTCTGTGCATGATACATTGAAATCTTACTGCAGTGAGCAGGTTCCAAGGAACCAAATTAATAATGATGTTCTGGAACAGTTGTAATAGCTAAAATTGATGGACTGTAGGACGTGGACAAGGCAGTGGGGCATTGCACCTGCTCTGATTTGAGCACTGACAAAGCTGTAGCCTCTGTGCTCCCTTGAAGCAGCAAAGCAACTGGGACACTCTGCTCTCACCACAGGCAAGGAAAATCCCCTCTGTTTGCCCATTCTCCAGGATTTTATCAATGACTGCTCATTTGATCTTGTCTTTACAATACTTTCCATGAGATTGATTCAGAGGCAGCTGAAATGTATCTGTGCTGCTTTGCCCTCTTGTTCTTTTCATTGTGAAGTATCTGCAGTTCTGAGAACCAAGAGTTTGGTTCTCAAGGTGTTGGTGCTGTTGCTTGGAGACCAAATCCCTGCTGGTGAAGAAAGGTTATCTCCAAATTTAGAATGGCTCCTTAGCAATTTGACTGGGAAATGAAGTGTCTTAGGGAAATGGGCATTTACCTGCCCGAAGGAGGACTGAAGGAGTCATGGAATCACAGGATGGTTTGGGTGGGAAGGACCTCATCTCATCCCAACCCACCTTCCACCATCCCAGGCTGCTCCAAGCCCTGTCCAGCCTGGCCTGGGACACTTCCAGGGATCCAGGGGCAGCCACAGCTTCTCTGGGCACCCTGTGCCAGGGCCTGCCCACCCTCACATTAATAAAAATCTCCCATATCATTAGTTTGTATCTCTCAGTTTAAATCAATTCCCCTTGTCCTATTGTTACAGGCTCTGCTGTAAAGTTCTCATTTTGTGAAACACTTCTAACTAAGGGTTAGAAATTCTTAAAAATCAATAAAATGTTTAAACTCATCCTTTTATATCTGTGTTTATATGGACACATAGGTATGTGCACACCCAGAGGTGTGTTCCAGATGGGGACAGAGATGTTTTAAGCAGAATTTATAGAAGCCATTTCCAGCTCTTGCGTGTTGTCATTCCAAACGTGCTTCTGAAACCGCTCTCAGTTTCACTTTACTACAGGAGTAGTGGGAGGTAGCAGGTGTGACAGTGATTGGAACTCATTAAAACACTTTATAGCTGCTTTCTCATCCTCAATTAGATTACTATCTTTTTAAAAAAAATAATTTGAAGTAGATTCTGTCGTTTCTTTTATAAATAAAACCCTAACTTTACTTACCAGGCTGCTCTTGTACGAGTGATGGAGATGTTTACATTGCCCATGAAACTTTGAAAACCTTAATTTTAGTCAGATAATGTTGCATTAGCCTTTTGAAAAGTATCACTTACCAATATTGCAACCAAATAAACGCTGCATAAATATTATTAGGAGTTTCACACTTGCCAGAAGTGATGGTGATGGAATCTTCATCCTCGTTTCCTTGCAGATCCACCAGCCCTCTCTGGAAACCACGGCTTCAGTGAACGGATGGGATATTTTTTTCTGGGTTTTAAGAAGAGTTTGCCCGGATATTTGTCCCTTTTCCAGCCGGCTGGTGCAGTGGGTCGGCAGGACAGGGATGTGCAGGGAGCCGCCCGCAGGTGGCAATGCAGGATCCCTGCACGTTCCCTTCCCCAGCCCGGGTTCCTGGCGTTTCTCAGCCATCCCTGGAGCCACCTCCGGGCCAGGCGGGCGTTTGGGGCGCTGCCCCTCTCCTGGTGATAAATGGAATTATACACAATGCAGGGAATCACCAGAGCTGGGTTTACAGGGAGCACTCGGCCTTTGGCTTTGCCTGTCAGGAATGTGCAGAAATGTAACTGGACCTCATCCCAGCATCCCAGAATCCCTGGATCCCAGCATCCCAGAATCCCTGAATCCCGGAATTCCTGAATCCCTGAATCCCAGAATCCCAGAATCCCTGAATCCCTGAATCCCAGAATCCCAGAATCCCAGCATCCCAGAATCCCTGAATCCCTGAATCCCTGAATTCCTGAATCCCAGAATCCCTGAATCCCTGAATCACAGAATCACAGAATCCCTGAATCCCTGAATCCCAGAATCCCAGAATCCCAGCATCCCAGAATCCCTGAATCCCTGAATCCCAGAATCCCAAAATCCCAGAATCCCAGAGTCACTGAGGTTGGCAAAGACCTCCAAGGAACATCCAGTCCACTCTGTGCCAGCATCCCTGAATCCCAGCATCCCAGAATCCCTGAATCCCAGAGTCCCAGAGTCCCAGAGTCCCAGAGCCCCAGAATCCCAAAATCCCAAAATCCCAGAATCCCAGAATCCCAGAGTCACTGAGGTTGGCAAAGACCTCCAAGGAACATCCAGTCCACTCTGTGCCCATCCCCACCCTGTCCCCATCCAGAGCACTCAGTGGCACCTCCAGGAATTCCTGGGACACCCCCAGGGATGGGCACTGCAAACCCCCCTGGGCAGTGCCAAGGCCTGAGCTCCCTTTCCATGGGGAAATCCCTCTGGAATTCTCAGGGTGCTGTGCAGGTGCTCGCAGCTCTGTGCTGCCAGTGCAGAGCGAGGAGGCAGCAGGGACAAGAGGCACCTGCAGCTTTCCCCAGCTCCCTCTCAAAGGAAAGTTTTCTCAAAGCAATTCCAGGGTTTCTGGAAGCTTCCCCTCACTCTGCCATGTGATGCTTTGCAGCCTTAACTTTGCCATGGACGTTGTCCCCAGAAATATTCCTCTCCAGAATTAAATTCACCTGCAATTGTGCTGTTTGGTTTGGTTTGCATGAGGATAATATTTATCGATTTCCCAAAATGTGCTTTTCTTTATGAGTGAAAGAAACTGAGTCATCCCTTCCTTGGCTGACCTGGGGGCTGCCAGCAGTGTGAAAGGTACAGATGATTTCTCTCTCTGTGGCATGAGGTGCATCACTAATGAGAATGAGAGCAGCATTTCAATTTATCATTCAGCAATTCTGTGTCAAAACTTCATTTCTCTGTAGAATTAACTCTAGAAATTTATGCTGGTGCCTGCTTTGTCCCTGATAGGCACCATTTAAATTACATTGTTATTTTTAACAGAAAGATAGACATTATTATCTTGCTGACCACTTCACTTGCATGACTGAGGGCTGTCAAATGAGCTATAAAGTTTTTTTAAAAAATCCCAATCTCCAGATGATGGTTGGAAAATTCTTATATTCCAGGTCAGTCCCTGGAGCAGGCTAATTATTGTGTTTTACAGCCCAGTTTTTCTGGCCCCACGCTGAATGTAGGAGTTAAATTATGACCATAATTAAGGATGGCTACAAAGCTGCTGTCATTAACAAGGGGACCTGAGAAAGGAGGAGTTGAGACCTCAGCCTGATGCAGTCACACAGGTTTGTGTGCCCTGCTGCTGCACAAGGCTCCAGCTCCTGCCACAAGGGCTACAGGGATAATGAATGAATATTTATAAAGAGTAGCAAATATGCTCTAATTACCCTAATTGGCCTGCTGTGGTTCCAGTTACGGCAGAACTTTATTTCTGTTCAAGTGACATTTGCTTCTGGAGTAGTTTCTGCAGGCAAAGAAAAAGTAAAAGCCCTGCTGAAGAGGGCAGAAGATCCCCTGATATCCTGGTCCTGCAGTTCCCTCACCGTGCTCCTGGCAGGCTCATGGCTAATAACATTTCTCATCTCGTTAGGGAGCATTTCAGAGGATGTGAGACACTGGGAAACGAGAAAGAAAAACAATGAGCAAAAAGAGAGGGAGGACTAGTTTTATTTTTAATAATTAATAGGCCAAACTCTGAACATTTTCAGGGTGGCAGCGCACAAAATTCTCCTTGACTTTATTTGTGGTGTAGAAATGTATCTTTATTTGTGGTGTAGAAATGTATCTTTATTTGTGGTGTAGAAATGTATCTTTATTTGTGGTGTAGAAATGTATCTTTATTTGTGGTGTAGAAATGTGTCTTTATTTGTGGTGTATGGTTTTGCAGAGTGACTGACAGCCAGACAAGGAGTCCTGTCCTGAGGATTCCAACAGAGCTGCTTCCATCCAGGGAACACTCCTGGCATCTAACCTGGCCCTCACCTTCCTGCTTGGGATCTGACCATTTCTGCCAGGAATGCTGAGGTCCTTAGGGATGCTGGAATGGGATGGTTCAGATGGCACAGAGGACGTGGCAGAGCAGTGAGTGGGTAAATCTAGTGGTTTGCAATTTCTGCCATAACAACAGAACTTTTGAGGTGCATTTTTGTTGACAGGGGTGACATCCATCTGCTGTCAGATGAATGACTCTACTTCCATGCCTTCAGATCTTTTGGGATTCTGTAGGCAGCACTCTCTGTGTCTGGGATACTCCAGTTCCACCAGCTCACTGGACTTGGGGTCTTTTCCTCCCTGTATTTTGGTACTGCTGTTATCTTCTGGGTAAATAGATACTAAATCCACTGCCAAATCTCGCATGAGGTAGCCCACAGAACTATTAACACAGAAAAAAAGGGCCATGCAGTATTGTATCAACTCCTGGTGGTAAATGGTGAGTAATGAGAGTGAAAATGGTGAAATGTCTGACACCCCAGCCAGAGTCAGCTGCTCAGGGCAGGGCTTGATGGCACTGACTGGTGTGAGCAGGGATTGATTGATGTCATGGTCTTCAAAGTCACATTTGACACTTCTTTTACTGTTTAATTTCTTATTAAACAGTCAATTCACTCTATGTAGGTTTAGAATTATCTACTGCACTTTAAAGCCTGTTGCAAACCCAAAAGAGGGATGTGAAATTTTGCAGCAAAAAATTGTTGCTTTTGCATCAGGCTGAACCCCCAGTGAAACTCTTCCCACACAAGAACGTATGGAGCACACCAGGTTTCCTTCCCAGACGTGCATCTGACGATGTGGGAATCTGTGATTCAGCCCTGCATGAGCTTTTTGTTTAATTAGACATTGCTAAAGCCTCTGACTGCTCAGTGACTCCTGAAGCCTCTGACTGTGGAGATCTGAATTACAGTGGGAACATTGTCAAGGGTCAAACAGAGACAAGCTCTAAATATTCCCTAGAGAGGATTTTTTAAGACCTTGACCTGGTGAATGTTAGCATAATCTGAATGGTTTCAGCTCACCTTCTCTGAAGTGCTGTTACAGAAACCACGTGGCTCTGCCTTCATTTCTCTCTTGCACCCACCAAGGGGTTTGTGTTGGTTTTGAGGGAGGAGGAGGCTGGGAAGGGAAGGATTTTGGAGAAAGTCATTTTGTCCCTATACAATCTTGTACCTGGATTTTCCTGCAGAGGGATAATTTCCTTTGCTGGAGCTTTCTGGCACAGCCTGGCCCTGCTCAGAGCCGAGCTGTGCCCAGCCCCACTCCCTGTGCCACCCTCACCCCTCTGTTCCTGAAGGAGCAAGGGACATACAAGAGAGCCCATCACTTTATTACTGCAAGGAATGCGCTCCTGCTGTGGGATTCCAGCTGGGAGAGCACCCAGAGCAGGAATCAGAGCGATGCCAGCCCTGGTGCTGCAGACATGCATCGCTGTGGGGCAGCTCACACTGCCCCTCTGCCTTCACCAGAGCATCCAGGGCTGGGACTGCAGCTGGGGAAGGGCCAAAAAGGGGTGACAGCCCTCAGCTGTGTCACAGCAAACAGCCAGCTTTTGAGCCAAGCCATAATTCCCATGGATTTGACTAAAAATCCAGATAATAGACCACAGAGAGAGAGGCACCAGCAGGATCACCCGAGACCCCCAGGGAAGCTGGAACGCAGCAGGTGGGGTCCCCCAGCAGCTGAGCTCTGAAGCCTGGATTGATTTAGCACAAGGACTGCAGCAGTATTCCCCCTGTAGCTGCTTCCACCTGTGGAGCTGGTTCCAAGCTGGTTCCAAGCACCAGCACACGGTGGGGACCTCCCAACAGCTCCTCTGCCCCTGCCTTGGCAGAACTTGCAAGATGCTTTCACAGTTTTGCTCAACCAACACCCAACTCCAGGGTGATATTTTTATTTTATTTTTATTGGACAAGGGCTTTAGAATCAAGCTCTAGTTGTGGGATAAAAAAATTAGGTGATACACGAAATAAATGAGCATTAATGTAAAGACAGTGAGAAAATGGATGGCCCTACAGCATTTATTAGCTAGCAGAACATGGAAATGAGCTTAGGTTTTATTTGGTAAGTCTTGATTTCTCCTTATATTCACGTACAGCTCCTTATTTATGGCTCAGCCTGTCAAACACATTCTTAGATAAGCAACTGTTGCTCACAGGACTAATCTAATTACCAGTTCTTTTTATAACGAACGCTGACACAAAGGTAGAAGATGCATAGCACTTGTGCTGGAGCCAATGCTCCAGATGATCAAACAGTTTTGAAATTTAAAAAAAATGGGGAGAAGAATTTTTTGTCACGATGTTCCTGTTTTTTGTCCAACTCTAATTAAAGATGAAGAACAAGAGTGAAAAGCTGGTTCATTTGCAGCTTTGGCACAGAATTAATTGCCAAGAGTTTAGACTGGATATTTTAGCACTCTGCAGTAATGTTCCATAGGCACATTTCCCTATCACAGGCTGGAGAATGTTACAGCCCTAATTATTTGTAAAGTGCATTTTAAAAAGTTTTGGAATTTTCCTTCAGGAACAAGCGTATCAGAACAGCTTCAAATTGTATTTTAAAGACATTTGAACAGAAAATCAGCATGCTGTGGGTTTGCCCAAACATCACAGACTGAGAAACTGATTTTACTTTTTTTTTGAAGGACAATGCTGTGTCCTTGGCCTTCATTTAAAACCATTATGCATTCTGACATTTCTCACAACCTGCTCCAGACATGCCAATAAGAAATAGTATTTCTGAATATCAAGACAAAGAAGCATTGGTCAGTGTGGTGGGGACTTCTACATTCCCCAAGCTCTTTACTGCTAGTAAACCATTTTTATTAAAAATGGGTAGAAAATAAGAGAAACTCTTTAAATCAGCTTTTCTGTACCTCTAAGCACACATGAAATCAAACAAGTGGATTTAATTATCTTCTGAGTTCTGGAGTTTTTCTCCTGTGCTGCTCTGCAGGTCAGGGTCACTCCTGTGTGATGAAACCCGAGTGTCCCTGTGCTCCCCTCCCCAGCACAGAGCCTGGGCCCAGGTGGACAACACCTGCTTGTCCCTCACGCTGTCACTGCTCTGTCCTGTCCTCTCTAAACCCTCCCCATGACCAGCAGGGGTGTAACGATGGCAGAGGTGAAGTAAACCTGTCCCGAGTCCCTCCTGATGGGGACACTGAGGCACAAAGCTGTCACCGCTCCCCTCCATGACTCCAATCTGATTTCCTTTTCCCCTGGCTGGCACACATTTCCTGCTCCTGCCAGGAGCTCGGTGGGAAGGGGTGGCCCCAGTTTGCCCAGCAGTGCTGGGGGTCCCTGGAAAATGCCCTCTCCCAGTTCCCTCTCAGAGCTGAGGGCGAGCGAAGCTGGGAACAGATGGTGGGGAAGGCTGGCATCTCCTCATGCATATTTCACTGGATTTGCAGCTAGTCACCTCTTGATAATAACATTAAGTGCTACAAAACTCCGAGGCTTTGTTCCCCGGAATGTTGCATTCGATGGCATCGGATCAATGCTGTAACATCAATTAAATTTTGAAGCTGGTGAGCTCTGAGTATTTACATCTTTAGCGAGGTTATGCTATAAACAGCTCAATTCTTCTGTGTTCTGCTGTGGGTAGGGCTGACTTGCAAGGAAAGAGCTGGTTCTGTGGCGAGTGACGAATCTTACTTGACGCTTTTTAAAAGCACAATGGGACAAATATCTGTGGTTATTTCCATTACGCTCTAAGGCGTGTTACTGGGAGAGAATTCAGCCATTAATTCTGATGTATTTACATTATTTATATACAAGAACAAGAAAAATGGTAGCCTGTTTAATGATTATGTACATTGTGATTCGGTTGGAAAAATGTGTATTACAAATGGCAAAACAGCCTGTCAAGTGCATAATTATATGTTGCTGTATTTTTTTGTTGTTGCCAGAGAAGTTTTAAATCCTTAAATCCCACTGCATGATCTCGGTGAAAGTTCTGCCCTATACGTTACATGGGGGGAGGAAGGAACAGCATAATCACAGACTTGTTAAACCACACCAGGTCCTGGTTAGAGCTCCTTCTCTTCGTTTTAATGTGAGGATTACCTTTGTAAGGTGCTTCCAGAGGGAATTAAAAGATGGAGTCTGATACAATGACAGCAAGGGAAACAGCAATGTAAATTTCATTCATTGTCCCTAGCCTCGGAAGAGAGAGTGGTGAACAAAACCTCGCTGCCTTGTGACTCATTGCTCATCTGAGACTTGGCTTTCAGCAGGAACTGCGCTCTCCTGTACATGATCCTCTCCTGCTCTTGCTTCAGCTCCAGGTAGGAGCGGGAGAAGGTGTGGAAGATGGAGGTGACCGGGAAGGCCATGAGGAGGATGCCGCTCAGGATGCTGCTCAGGGCCACCACCTGCCCGGGGATGCTCCTGGGCACCATGTCCCCGTAGCCCACGGTGGTCATGGTGATGACGGCCCACCAGTAGCAGGCGGGGATGCTGGTGAACTCCTGCGAGTCGGCCATCTCGTTCTCGATGACGTAGAGCAGGGGCGCGAAGAGCGCGATGGCCACGCAGAGGAAGAGCAGCAGCAGCCCGAACTCGCGCGTGCAGCGCCGTGCCGTCAGCCCCAGCGTCTGCAGCCCCAGCGAGTGCCGCGCCAGCCGCATCACGTACAGGATGCGCAGCGCCCGCAGGATCCGCAGCACCAGCCCCACCTTGTCCAGGTAGATGTTGCCCGAGCTGGGCTTCTTGGAGCCCTCGGAGCCCGTGTCCACCAGCAGGGTGATGTAGTAGGGCAGGATGGCGATTATGTCTATCAGCGTCAGCGGCCTCCGCAGGAAGGAGAACTTGCTCTTGGCCTGGATGAATCTGAGCAGGAACTCCAGGGAGAACCATGCCACACACACAGACTCCACAATGAAAATATTGTAGCACATCTGGGAACACTCACCCTGCAGGAAAGAGGAGGAGTTTGTAATCGGCTCTGGATAATAACTGTTTTACTTGGTGCGGTGACAGGAGGAGAGGCTTCTGTGTTGGTTTTTTTAAACCCAAAATATTAAAGGAATTGAAGCTGTTGCTATGGGGAAACACGTTGGCAGTTTGGAACATGCTAAGTGCAAAACTTAGAAAGGCACTGCTTATTCCACAGAAGATAACTGCTCGGGAATTTCAGGCTTTCTAAATAGCAGATACAAAGTCTAACAAGGGAATATACAGAAGAGTGCACGCTAACAGAATTTTCTTTGGACATAAGACTGGATATGATGAATTCTCTTACAAGTTAATTGAACGGTCATGTAACATTTCAAATGTTCTTCACAATATTTCCCCCCCTCTGCAGACAGCTGCAAAATCCCCATTGAAGCCAATAACCTCAGACCTTGCACTCGCTCTGCTCTTCCCAGCACATACCACTTGCCACCCTAAAAGCTAACTTACCTTTTCCTCCTCCTCCCTCAGGTCAGGCATGGTGCTGATGGATAAGTTCACTGCTGTAATAGTTACAAACAAAACAGACAAACACGCAAACACCTTTCCAGGAAGGCCAGACTGGGGCCTTTCCACCATGTCTTGCAACTTTCTCATGCACAAACCAATTTTTGTCTCCTCTACTGTTTCACCTGTTGTTTCATTTTCTAGGAGGTCATCCTCCCGTTCATTAATCTCTGTGAGCTCCTCCATTTTTTGCAGGTATCTCCTTTTACAACACCAGTCCAAGTTGTCTTCCTCAATGCCCCAGTAGAGCAGCTCCTCTTGGAAGGACAGCGCACACATCTCCCGCAAGAGCCGGAGTTTGCCGACCCGCAGGAAGGTCAGGATGGTCCTGAACGCCCCCGGGTTGCGGTCGAAGAAGAATTCATTGCACGTCACATCGTAATCGTCACAGATGTTCAGAATGTCGTCAAAATTAGTGCAGAACTTGAGCTGTCCCAAACGTGTCAGGGGGAACTCATCCAGCGTGGTCCAGGGGAGCAGGTACTTGATGCCCCCCACGTTGATAATTATGTGACGCTTGCGGTCGTCGGGGTGGAAGCCTTTGAGGAGATCCTCCTGAGGGTGGATTAGCCTGGCTCTTTGGTAAAACACTCCCTTGAGGGTTTCAGATTCTGGAAAGAAAGTGTGGTTGAAGGAAGCATCTGAAGTACAGCTCAGGGCACTATAGTCATAGTCGGAATTTTCTCCAGGCATAAGAGTCATCTTGGAAGACAACTTTGCATCCCTTCGCTGCTCCTGCAAGTGTCTTCTGGAACAGAAAACAGACACAGGGGGTGAGGAAATGACAGCCTGCTTTCAGGTTCTGAACAAATGCAGGGGTTGGAGCTCAAAAGCATTTATGGATGATAAGAGCCATTGTAAAGAAAAACAGCAGTGGTTGTGCATGGCCAGTGGCTGGGATTGTCCAGCACTGACCCCATAGCAAGGGCTGGGCCCGGCTCAGGAGCTCTGCCTGGCAGATTTAGCACACTGCAGGCTGCTCCTCTCTCACATACAGAGGTCTCAGTTCCCAGCAGATAAAGAGGGAAGCCAGGAATAATTCCTCCATGTGGCAGGATGTTTCTGGTTCAGAGTGGAGGTATAAAAATGATGACAGTATCACGTTAGGACACAGAATTCAAGTGTGTTTTGTAGAAAATGAAGTTGTATAGTTTTTTTAAGTATTACCCATAAAACTTTGGAGTATTTTAGTACCCATGAAATATACAGAAAGAATCAGAAGTCAATTATGTTGTAATTCTGTAAATACACACTTCTAAAAACCAGTTAGTACAAGAGTAATTTCTAAAAGGCCATCTGGAAACGATTTGGGGAAAAAAAAGCTCACTTGTATTGGTGATCACATAAACATTTGTATAGAGTTTATACACAATTAATGACATGGCAACTCCCTTTTTATGGCCTGATTTACAAAAGATTACAAAGAAACACAGGATTTCCATGCAAACCTTGGTCTGTTGTTTCAGTTATCACTCACACCCTACGTGCAGTAGTAGGGCTTTGTCCTTGCACTACACTGAGCCAAGCTGCCCTTCTCTCTGACTTTAAGAACCCAAAAATTTCTAATGACAGCTTGGAAAATCCTGTTCAAATTCAGCTCATGCAACACTGGCATAAAGTCCAGGGAGTGAAGGAACAGAGTTGAGCTGGGTATCAAACACAGGAGCTGGCAATGCTCGACCTCCTGGCCTCCCTAATTCACTGCACTTCAAGAGTCAGCCTGGAATCTGCTCCTCCACAGGAGGTTGTGCAGCACTGCTCCAAGACCTTCCATCTGCACACTCAGCCTTCAGCCTAGTGCCTGGAGCCCCTGAGGTTCACTTGGTGAGAGTATTTATTTATTAAGGAGATTGTGCAAGAGAGAGACATTAAATATGCACCAGTATTTTGGCTTTCTAGCCTCACGTTCACAGGAAAAGAATAAATATTCCAGTTGATTGGCTTCAGTAGCAGTAGAGTTTTGTTGTTCTTCTGGCTGCACTCACCTCCCCTTGGATGTGACTCCAGGGATACACCCCCTGCTAGGGCCACTTGCTGAGCCACAGAATCCTCCTTTTCAGAAGCTGGGTTTATAAACCACACCAGGAGTGGTACATACCTGTTAGAGAAGAAAAACTCATGATTACACAACAGCAAAGGACTCACACCACAGCTGCACATCAGCTTAAGAGCTCTCCTTAAGTGCTGCAAGGGCACTTACAATGCTTCAATTAAAAACTCCCTCAGTCCTGCTCCCAAACTTCCCAGAGGCTTTGGGCTGCACAGAGCAGCTCTGGGCACATTACAAACAGGTCAGCTTTGGATGGAGTGTTATTTCCTGACTCCTCACTTGTACAGAAGCACAGAATGGTTTGGGTTGGAAGGGACCTTAAAGCTCATCTTTGGCAGCCCCTGCCATGGATCGGCAGAAGAAATGCCCTGGAGTGCGAGCGACAGGTTTGATATGGAAACCAATGGATGTTTATGTAGGGCTTCATCTCTCAGACCAACTGCTGTTTTATTTAAAAATGCCTTTTCCCTTCTGCCTCAGCCACGTCTAAGGCAGGGCTGTTGCAAACAGAACGAAGACTGACTGATATAAGATATGGATAAGTGGGAGCTGTTAACCATTTTCCCTTCTGTAATACCAGATGATGTTGGTTAGCAACAACTTATCCTCTGAATCTCAGCCAGGAAAAATGAGGAGGCAGCTCATCTCTGTCACTGGTTTGATCTCCCAGCACATCCACTGTTGACACAATGGGAAGAAATGGAGAGAGGGAAATGTAAATGTTCTGCGTGTGTCAGACACACGCTGTAACCCTGAGGCAGCAACTGTGAAAGAGCAGAGCAAAGAGAAGGGGATTTCTTTCTTCGCTGCCGGCTCCTCGACCTGTGTGAGACAATAAATTGGACAAATGAATCCCCTGTGTGCCACACTGAGTGGCTGCACTTAGCAAAGGTTGCTCCTTGGTTTGCCATAATCAGAGCTGGCAAGCCTACAAATCCCACGTAGGAGCTGATGCTCCACATGGGCTATTTTCATGTTCTTTGCCTCAGATACACGCAGCATCATATCTACAGGGGAAGAGTAGGAGGAGATAAAGGACAATAATAAACGTGGCCTGACTTGAAGGGAGAAAGGAGAAAAATAAACCAATGCGTTTCTCCGTGTGTTTCTTGTTTCCCTTCTGAGGGTGCCTCAACAGAACGATGGTCAGTATTGCTTTAGGATGAGAGAGATCTAATTAATGAAGGACTCCTTGCTGTTGAACTTAAAGCCCAAGCAAGCTGCTTTATTCCTCCCTTGAAGCTTGATGACACTGGGGGCAGCTGATAAGAAATGCCTCCAGGAGCAAAGACAGCACACTGCAGTCTAAGGTCAGACAAACACATTAGCCTAGAGCCCCAACCTTCCCAGCAATTAAACCAGATGAACTTTCAGGATCTGCTCTAACAGGAAAATCCTCTGCTCTGCTCTGGCTTGGTCAGGCCCAGTGGTAAAAGCCCTGCTGGCCAGAGGGCTGAGCAGCATTCTGCCCTTGCAATGCCTGGGACTCACTGGAGCCCAGTTCATCTTCCTGGTGCCCCTGCTGACAGAGCACTCTCCTCTTGGGCAAATCCCTTCTCTCTGAACATCACTGAACCCATGCTCTGTAAACTCACTGGGGCAGCAACTGCCTCTTCCTACATTCTCCACGCTGGGACTTGCTCTGCCTTTTAGAACCTGCCGTAACACAGACCAGAGCTGGCCTGGGGCAAGGGCTCTGGGTGACTCCAAGGGCTGGATTGCTCATGGGAAGCAAGAGAGGACACATTCTCAAAAATCTGTCCTGCACAAGATGATATCCATTGTGTCTGGTGAAGAAATCAAATTAGAAATCCGTACTGCCCTTACTTGCAGCCAAAATTCAGGAAGGATGCCAGACTCCGAGGCAATGGGAAAAGAATTATTAAAGATGCCCTTCTGGGGGAAGAAATAGAACTCATGAGAAACATGATAAAATTCCACTGCAAGTGTCGTTCCCCCCCCAGTGTCCTCTGCAGTATTTTGAATTCTGCAGTGCATCTCTGATGTAATCAGAGCTCCTGCAAGGAGTCCTGCTCTGCTCCATGGTGCAGACAATTCAAAGTTGTGCCTGGATGATAACAAGCCTGCAAAGAAGAGGCAGAACTCCCCCCTAGTATCTTCTGTCAATTCCAGTGCCTTCAACTCATCTCTGCTGCTTTTCACCATTTGTAAATGAACTTTAAAAAAAAAAACATTTAAAAAAGTTTCAGATTTCGGTGCAGGTTGAATATGAATATAGAGATTTTTTGGAAAGAATTCCATAAGGAACGTTTTCATGGTCCCTCCTCCTCTAGTCTTTCCTCAGTTAAGCAGGCAGCATTTCCAAGCAGTGCCCACTCAGCTCTCTCCTGGCACGGGATTTCCGTGCTGTACCTGTCGGCCAGGTGCCTCCTGCCACACTGCAAGCCATCTCCTGCAGCTCCTTACAGCCTCAGAACACATCTCAAACTTCAGCTTTGCTTGCAAAAGTGCACTTCCAGCCAAATCAGAGTAAAACTTAGAAAGGTCAATGTATAACATGAAATAAAACTCTCCTGAAAAGCAGATAAACTGAAAATAATAAGCTCTATCTCTATCTTGCTCTCCCTGAGCTGGACAGTTGTAGCATCTTATGACAACCTACAAACAGAATTATGCCAAATATGTTACTGGTTGGTTTCATAAAGCTGAGCCTTATTCTACTGATAATAATCAGAAGTGAAATAACTTTGCAGATAACTTATAACCCCAGGAGAACGTTCTGAAATACATTAGGATTAATAACTGCAGTTACTCTCCTGCTGTGAAACATATTTATGTCAACGAATTTTAGCAAGTCACATTCATAGAAATATCTTAAACGTAATTTTAAAAAGTAAAGGATTTGACATTTACTTGTATTGATAAATATTTTGCTACCGAAATGAAGATATGTAGTCACATAAGTCACGGAAGAGTTCTTTCACGCTTGTCCTGTCCTCACCCCCTCCCCAAGTCTTTTCCGATGAACAAATCTACCGGAAAGACATTTCCTATCCAGAGCAGTTCGCTTGATGTGTCTGTCGGCCAGCAGCGAGCAGCAGTCAGTAAACACACCAACATAAAAGACATCCCTCAATTATTTAAAAATGAAAGCTATAAAGGACCTTCAGATTAGGCAAGGCGGAAGAAAGTGGCAAGGCGAGCCTCCATGGAGCCGGCCGGGGCAGGCGGAGCAGCACGAAGCGAGCCCGCAGGATGAGCCCGGAGCGCCGTCAGCCTCCTCGGCGGCGGGGCCGGGGCAGGGCAGGAACGAGAGCGGTGCCGGGGAGCAGCCGAGCCCCTCCCGCTGCTGGCGGCGCGGCCGGCCCGGCTCCGGCAGGGAATGACGGCCGCTCCCTCTCTTCCATCCCTGCGGAGGGACAGAACCTGTTG